GAGTGTTGGCAGTCCATGAGTATGGACTTTGTGTTTGGCCTGCCGAAGGACTCGGCGGACGACACGGGTGGAGTGGTTTTTTGTGGACCGTTTGAGCAAGGTGGCTCATCTTGCGGCAGTGCAGAACACAATTGACAGTGTGGGTACTGAGACGCTTTTTGTCGATCATGTATTTTGATGACACGAGTTCCCAGAGTCAACTGTCTCTGACAGAGTCCCACGCTTTGCTGGGAAGCTTTGGTCTACAATTTTCAGGGTGCTGGGCACCAAGCCGGATATGTAAACAGCGGACCATCCGCAGACTGATGGTCAAACTGAGCGCATGAATCGCGTCGTCAAGGACGTTCTTTGCAGCATCTGCGCTGAGATTCCAAGGCACTGGGACGCCATGCTGCTACTCGTAGATTTTGCTTATACAATGTAGTGCATTCGTGTACCGGCTACATGCCGTTCTTCGTGAACGGGCTGATTCACCCTCGCGTCCCACTGACGCCGCCATCCCATGGCTCAAGGTTTGGCTGGGAAGGAATAGCCAAGCTCCAAGCTAATGTCACCCCCCTCACTGTTCGTTGGGAAGTCGATGACTTCCTGTCTACCAGACTGAGTGTCTTACGACACCTTCGCGGCGCAATGGCTGGAATCCAATACATGCAGACGAAAGAGGTAGAGGAAATGTCACGATCTTTGAGGTCGGCGACCTGATTTCTTCCCACCCATGCAGTGTCTGCTGTCTCTAAGACGAAGCACCGTCCACGGTTTTTTGTACTTTTCAAGATTGTGGCCAAGCGGGGCCTTGCGTACACACTAAACCTTCCGAAACGGATGGGCACCTACTCAATGTTCTATGTGGGCTTGATCAATTCGTACCAGAATCCGGCGCAATCGAATGCGGAAGCGTTGGCGCCGGAGTGGCGACCACAGGCGCTCGACCGCCCAGAAGCTAGACCAGCAACTGATTCTGAGCACAGGGTACAACGATCTCCTTCTCCAACGATGCCAAGCGTTCCACCTTCGCAAGAAGTGACGCATTCGTCTGCTCAATGGCTAGAAGCCGTTCCGACAGGTATGCGACCCCAGCGTGATGCTCAGCAAAGTCCCAGTCGCAACGAACCTCATCCTCAAGTGCTCGAAAAGCATCACGAGTCACCGAACGGCGATCGACCCATTCGCCAACGACCGCCACTGAGTCTTCTCGACGATAATGGTGGTATCCACTATCACGTGGAGCGTCTTGTGGGTCAACGTCGTCGCCAAAGTCAATCCCAGTATCTTGTGAAGTGGCGGGGATACCCCCAACTTCAAGAACTTGTGGTAGTGCGTATTGCCACTTTGGCAAGACTGTTCAGACGTCGTGGAGGCTTATGATCAGAGGAAACATGACTTTCCGCGTCGTTGTACGCTCCGCGCTCCTCGACAATTGCCAGAGAAGCCGAAGTACCATAAGTTGAGCTCAAGCTACGGCTCTGAGCTGCTGCAGTCGCAGACTCACTCGTGTAAGAGACCACAAAGCTCACGGGAGCTTGATGGGTCAATTCATATGTTGCAGGGCGACAATCCGAAGGATGTCGGCAACGCGCTTTGAGTTTGGGATACTTAAACCGAAGATGACATTCCACGCGCGCATCCACCTCCTTGTGGATCAACCGTAAGTCGAACAGCGAGGAAAGTCTCCGGTGCCGCTGCACTCATAACTTAAAGAACTGTTTCTCGTCTGGAGCGGTTCGCCAGGGGTGAGCACCACAAGAATCGTCCGCATCGCGGGTACAAGAGCACCTCTTCTTTGACCACGAAATAGAGTGCGATACGTTTTCTCCGAAAATTCTTGAGGATTCAAACAGCGAGCTCGGGGAGCTAATTGTTCGTCCAGCTCAGCGTAGATGCACAACGATTGAGTGACTGCGTCCTTTGCTTCTCCGCCTCTCGGAAGCCGTATTCAAATGAGGGTCCAGAACCGACCGTGGATGCGCGCGCATGACAGCCGCCCTGCGGGCAGCATTCAGCTGCTATTTCTATGCCTTGTAGAGGTCATTGGTAATGATATCACGATTCTCGACAGTTGAGAGTTCGGGAAATGGACACACCGTCGGCAAGGTTCGATAAGGGCTCACGTCTCGGGAAAGGAGTATCCGACTCGTAGTCGACTTCCTTAAAATCTTCATCGAGGTAATCTATCGCCCGTGGCGGGCGCGGGGCACAGTCGGGAGTAGACATCGCGTCTGTATTCGTGGTCGTGCGACCCTGTAGCTTACAATGTTACTGATTACCGAGAGCTTGGACTGTGCTTCCCTTAAAGTCGCGGAGATGCTATCCGAAGTTGCACCGACGAAGAAGGGCTCTGCTCGCGGGTGTTCTAGGAACCAGCGAGGCCGGATGTCTTCCGTGTCCTCGACATCGGGATCATTGAGCAGAGAATTCGAGACGAAGGCCCTGGTGACTTTGTGGTGTCTTAGACACGCGAGCATCGTCCGAGGCGACAGTTGAATGTGTTCACTATCTTGATGAGGGAGAGTGTAACGGGATTTCACGTGCCCTGGTTTGAATGGTGTGGATTACACAAGGTGATGTGTCAGACTTAAAATAAGAAGTCAGTGCGTGGCTGGACTGCCAGTACTTATACATTCAAACAAATTTTACTATATAAATAGGAAAACCTATAGATTAAGATATTGGCGACTTTGCCGCAATTAAACCGAAAAATATAGTTTAAAATTTAAGCGGAAGACCTAATTAGCTTTGGGTTATGATTGTCATTACTCTTGGTGTAAGTGGATTGCAATCCGCTGCACTCGTACTGGTTGAAAATATAGAACTAAGTTCACCGACCTTAACCAAGGTTCCTCTAAACAAAAGGGCTACGGCTGCTCCTCCGCAGCCTTAGTAGATGTATCGTGTGCAATTAAGGGAGGGGGCGTTCTTCCGCCAAGAGAGAATAAGCTTACCATGTCAAGGAATTTTGAACCTTTATCGTCACAATTTGGCAGACCCCATATCGATCGGAAACAAATTTTATCTCCGCAGTAGAGGTAGGGTTTAAACCGAGTCTTCCGCTCCCACCTCTACATCTCCTGAGGAAGTCGATGATGTCGCATCAAACTATGAGTTCAATTTTCTTACCGCAAGGGCTGATTGGGGTTTCGAATATGGAACTAGCTCCAAACAAACGCTTGAGTCAAGAACCTTTCAAGTAAAAAGACCACTTACTTCTGAATAATTTAGAAATACATTATACTTCGCACTCGACACGTTAGCGGTATCAGCAGTGCGCGACATCACGATTATGACTTACGACAGTGAATATATGTAGTGACGCGAGAGCCGTCCGCCTCCACATAAAGCCGTTCCGGCTTTTATCTTTTCTCAAAGGTACGCACAAAAAAGGTTAGCTATCTTCCTTTTGTGCAAAAACTGTGTTGATAAAATTGCTTTACAAATAATGCATCATTTATGTAAGTCAGCTTTAAGAATAAGAAAGTATTGAAAATTCGACAAGAGCATAACTGATGATGTAAAGCTTCTCATCGGGAGCTAAGTAGTTTTTGTATGTTCCTTGAGGTTGGTATGACTCAAGCGCATTAATTAATCGATATTTATTAGCAATTGTTAGAAGTAAAGCACAGCAAAGGCAAACCTTCACAAATGAATTGATATGGAAGATCTATATTGGAAGGGCAAATTTGAGGCACTAATGAGGCTTCAGCAGACATTCATGACGAGCACCTTTTCTGCTGCACCCCAGCAATGTTGATAATCTTTGTTATGGGATTATTGCGGGGTCATACCAAATTGCACTATGCTTGTGCAAGTAGTTAGCTAGAACAAGCCATTAACTAGACTTCTGTTGAAATAGCAGAACTACAATGGCCTTGAAGTTTGCGATATCTGCCGCAGAGGATGTGCTTCAACGAGGCATTTGAGGTTATAATGGATTATCTAAGAAGAGTATTGTGTCAGCGCCTAATGCTTAGCTCTGGACGTTAGCAGACAACTTTTTAAAGCGCATACACTCGAGCATGTGTTTGATTTTAATGTTCACGTCCGACTTTTTTCCGTGCTCTGCTCGACTATAAGCGAATGTATCGTTGAATTAGGTTCGGTATCGATACAATATAATCGATATTGCTAATTCCCCAAAGGGCTGAACGTCGATGGCGCGTTAGACAGTCTATGGGATATAAAAACCGCTACCAGAGCATCCTGTTGAGATACTTATTGCAGCGAGATGACTCACATGACCATCTATCTGATCTACCCATCAACTAGATCGAATATATTGAACAAGGTGCGACTGGCAGTACTCTTCTAGAACAAACCCTCCTAGTTGTCGGAGTCCATTGGTCTCAATCTTCTTGTGGGACAATAAAACCTATTTCTCTCCCATTAATCCGCCCAGATTTTACTCAAACTCTATGCTTCCTAGCGAAAAAAACATGCAGAGGAGTCTCACTGTGTATACCACTTGATCCAGCCAGGACAAGGCACGCATGGCGCAGATAGCACATATGCTGGTAGTGCCCTGGATGTGATCAGTACCCTAGCTTGAATAATATTTGTTTCCGTCATAAGTCTCGTAAACCTGATAGCTCCCGCACCCAGTACGTCTTGGTGGAGCAACATTTGATCCTTACTCAGTGCAACACTCACCGCATCCTCGATAATGGGTATGCCGATTCGAAAAAATTCGGTATGATTCGCACTTGTTCAAAGACTTTTGCTATCAATCGACCTCGTTATCTCTTTCGAAGAGGATCTACAAACACTCCGGCTGTAACATCCAACTTCTGACCATAACCCGCTAGCTCTTGCTTCCCAAACGGACGGATAGACTGGTAAGGCGGAGCTAAGATCTACGACTTCAGTCTCTTCAATATTTCTCATGTAATGATTGGCTCTCCTACAGAAGTACTGCGCCTAAGTGCCATTTTCACACGAGGCTCATTGCGGTGAGACCGCTCGCGCAAGACGCAGAAGCCTCGTCTGAAGTGTAACCAAATTTTGAGCTACCGTAGAATATCTTGTTCAGAAAGAAAGAAATATCTCCATTATTGCGATGAAATGACTGAGCGCTTAAAAGAAGCAACTCATCGCTAGAGATAGTTAAGTAACCACCGAGACCCGATTTGGGCGCTCATGTAAGAGTCGCACCAACGCGTTCTCGTAGCTGGCGAATGACTCAAGGCAAGCATTACCGCTTCCTGCCCTTGCGCCACCGACTGTGCTATCCACTCAAATATATGAGCTTGTTTAATGTGTCTAGCTGCGCTAGAACAGATATTTAAGCAGCTTGTGTTCCACCCTCTCAGAGAAAACACTCTCGGATTTCAGATTGACGACAAGAACTTTCAAGTAGAAATGGGCTACCGTGCACCTCTCAGCGAGTTCGAAATAATAAACGCACACAGAGAGAGTTGTATGCCTCACCCAAGGGTGGAGCAAAGGGACATGTATGTAACATAATTATACATTTAGGTAGCACTCAATACATGTATCTTACTATATCCATTACTAACATATCTATCTTTTGTTGGCATGAGGTTCTAATAACCCAGGAGTGCTGAACCCAGACCCAGTCTCATCACTTTGATTAAGAAAATCCCTCGGCACTTCGGAATAATCTCAATAACAGAGTGTGACGTGGAATCCCATACACTTGTACAGACGTGTTCGGTGTACGTACACATTAATGCATTACGTACCCTATTATACCCTCTACTACCAAATTCTGGATCACTGGGCCCAAAGTTCTATTGTCATTGCCGGAAATTGCACAGAAGTATGTGCTTAACGAGCGCTTATATCGCTTTTACATCACTCCTCGCACATAAAATGACCGTAAGACGATACTGTTCTCAGTGTGTAATCTTGGGAGCAACTTTGCGTCGAAAGTCATTCCTAGTACAAACGACCACATGGTTCAGCGCGTCTCCAAGAAAATCACAACTCTTAAAATGACGATCGTAAGCGCGTTCTTGGCAAAGACAACAACGTATCACCTCTCTAGTCCAGATTCGACGCCTCCGCTCTTCCCTGGAGAGCTTCGGAAGAACTATTTATTAAAAAGACAGTATTCTCTTCATTTCGCGAGCTCTGAGCTCCGTGTATATTTTCTACGGTGGAAACTGTTGCGACACCCCGACACGAGGCCCACAACGACGTCTGGTTCATCATTAATGAGCTGATGCTGGCTCAGAGATCCTGTTTGTCCGTTTGCAAGTGCAAAAGTCGCAACGAAAACTTCCAATCCTATCACATAGTGAAGTAATTCTACTTTTTTTCCATTACAAAATGCCAGTCGCGCAGGCGTTAGCCCTGACATGCTTATGCATGCCGTCATCCAGCTAGCACTAAGAATGAAATGAGCGTCTCAA